ATATATATATATATATATATATATATATATATATATATATATATATATATATACATATATATATACACGCACCTACTTGCGTGCCGTATGCGGGTATATACACACAGGCTGTCACGCCGTATCGGGCGCCCCTCCCCCTCCGCTGTGGATTCATTCGCGAGTTCAGAATTGACTCTTCCTCGTGTTTGTTTTCCCATTCCTTGGTGTTACTTTTTTTTCCTCTTTGTTTTCTTTTTTTTCCCCCCTTTTGCTTCTCTCGAGGAAGATCCGACGGAACGTAATTACACGAAGTTGCTCGCGACGTCGAAGATTAAAAGGTTTCCCCCGGAATTATAACTTTAAGAGAGTGTAAATAGCAACGGTTGATTTCCCAATTAATTTAAAATGGGCTTTACCCTCGCGAAAATGTAATTTAAGATTTTAATCGCCGGGATATATATATATATATAAATATATATATATATATTTGACGAGCCCGAGGAGTCCTCAAATATTCGCGCTGAGCAAAGATCGACTCCGAAGAGTTTGTAAGTCCATAACCGGAGAGAGAATTGATTGGTATAGTCGTAGGACATTTTTTCTGTGTGTGCATATATATATATGTATGTAGTATATGTATATATACACACACGCATGCGCGCGCCCGCACACACACACGCGCGCGCGAGCGAGCGCACCTGTGTGTATGCGTGCGTGTGTGTGTGCGCGCGTTAATTGTTAAGGCGGCGCTCCTCTTAAGCCGATCATCAACCGGCGACCTAATTGCGTATGTGAATACTGACTCTAACAGTTTTGTTTTACATTGTCCCGATTAATAAACAGAATGTGCATGTGCCTGTGTCCTTTGCTTCTATAAAACGCCTACCAAGAATTAATGCTTCTCACGTTAATCCAGTAACATACAACTGCCGCTTTGCATTGTGCTCCGACTGCGATCCGGCTGTCCGGATAACAACGATTTCGCTCGCTCACTTTTGCGTTCTTCTGTCTCTCTCTTGTATCTGCATCTGTCGCAAGTTACGCCGTTGCAGGCGGTAGAAAAGACGATTGAGAAAGAGAAGAAAGGAAAAGAAAAGAAAGAAGGAAGAAAATCTTTGAAGGAGAAGGGAGAGGAGAACACAGAGACCACAAGAACGACGGAAAAAATTAACACGTGTTAATTTGCTGCGACCACGACGGCGGCGTTAATCGTCGGCTCGTTGGGCCGACGATTAATCTTGCCGCTTTAGAAATAAGATCGAAAAAAGAAAGCAGGAGTGAATGAATGAACGAACGAACGAACACGAGGAGAGACGCGGCAAGCGTCGATGCTTCTTACGGTACGAAGTGCGCTCGTTCTTTTTTCATTTTATTTTCTCTCTCAACTTTGCTCGAGCTCCTCTGCACTGCCTCCCACGACGCCGCCCCGCCCTCGATTGTCAGTCTCTGCCTTGCTCTCGTATTAATTTCGATAATACGGGAGGATACCGGTGGGTTATCTCGCGAAGATTAGTTTGGCAATCGAAGCGTTAAAAGAGAGAAAGAGAGAGAGAGAGAGAGAGAAAAAGGGGAGAAGGGAAGGAGAAAGAAGGAGAGAGAGAGAAAGAAAGAAAGAAAAAGAGAGAGGAAGAGCGAACAGTAACGAAATAGCCAAACCAATCCGATTTCATTGCTTCGTGCTCGCGCGGCAGGAGGGACGTTTGCACAGCCGTTAGGCTAAAAGCAACTGGAAACATCCTCTATTTAGAAATGACATATAAATCCGTTGCACACCTCAAATATTTATAGAGGACAGGAGGATAACACCGGCGCGATTGTAACGAGTACAGAATTCGATAGAGCGGAATTTCATTACGACGCGAATCGATCGAATCCCCGGCCAATATCTGCGCGAACGCGCGCACGCGCGCGCGCGCGCAACGAAATTTCGTGGCGTAACTTAATTTGAAAATCCGTCGGAGAGTTTCGAAACTTGGTTGCGGGCGCGAACCGCGAGGGATGCAACGCGACGGAGAATCGTGACGGTCTGTGCACAGAGTGTCTGATAGAAGATTGTCAAAAGCACATGCGCAGGTGGAGCCAACTGAACGAAAAATGCCTCTGCCCTTTCTCGGACAACTATGCAAAATATCAATGAACAAATGAAAAAAAAAAGATCAGCGAGCTCCGTAGGCGCGATCTCATCGAAAATGGCCGACATCCGCGCCGGATTTTTACTCTATAATCGGTGTATTCTTCACTTAAACGCAATACTTGCAACTTTACAAGTACAGCACCGCAATCAGAAAAATCTTGCTGGAGAAGTTTCAGTTAATAGTAGCGATATTCCCATTATTGATGCAATTCGCAAACGCAGACAATGTCATTGCATGCAAGTCGCATGGAGGCCGTTAATTCCTTCGCCACAAACGCAGAAAGTTGGATTTGTGTATGACGAATTTGTGTATCACAGATTTTGCCGTGAGATCTCGCTTCCATTGGCCAGAATCAGTGAGATGTAAGTTGGAGCAATGAAATAGGATACAAAGTGTCTGACACTCTAACAAGGGAACACCGCGAACCCGAACTTTTTGATTTTGATACACTTTTGTATGTAGAGTAAATCAATACATGAATAACGGTATATTCCATTTGTGTCCTATCGCTATTTAAAGGTATGATTTACATTCTCAAAGTAAAAAGGACGATTCAACTTTTTCGTATATTACTCTTAAATTAAAGAAGACAGAAAAAAATTTTTCAAATAAAAGTTTAATGGTAAGTTAAATGCTGTAAATATTAACATAAATATAAATAAAAAAATACCTGTAAAAAATTTTTTACAATAAAAAAGATATTTTTTTATTTATGCTTATGTCAATATTTATAGCATTTAACTTACCATTAAACTTTTATTCGAAAAATTTTTTTCTATCTCCTTTAATTTAAAAATAATACGCGAAGAAGTGGAATCGTTTTTTTTACTTTGAGAGTGTAAATCATAATTTTAAATAGCGATAGCGTACAAATGGAAAAAGGACGATTCCACTTTTTCGTGTATTACTCTTAAATTAAAGGAGATAGAAAAAAATTTTTCGAATAAAAGTTTAATGGTAAGTTAAGTGTTGTAAATTGACATAAACATTAATAAAAAAATACCTATAAAATTTTTTTCACAATAAAAAAAGGTATTTTTTTATTTATATTTATATCAATTTACAGCACTTAACTTATCATTAAACTTTTATTCGAAAAATTTAATAATAGTATAATGGAAATAAAATAAATGGAAATAAAATGGAAATAAAATGTTATTCATGTATTAATTTACTCTATATATTCACAAAAGTCAAATTATCAAAATCAAAGAGTTCGGGTTCGCGATGTTTCTTGTAAACGTCCCGTATCTCATGTACATGTATCGATTAAGACAAGTCCTCTTCCATTTTGTAAATAACCACATACATTTTTGGTTATCAATTAAAGAATATTGATGCATTACCGCGCGAGGTCAATCTTCTTTAATTAATAACTAAAAACTCCTGGTTATTTGCAAAGTAGTATAGAACTTTTTTATTCAGTTCGACTTGATTTGCAAATACGCGACGACAAGCGTCGCCATCGCAATTCATCCGCCGTATCGCGCATGATCATTCGCCAATCTTTAATTAATAACTCAAGATTTTAGTTCAGTTTAACTTAACGTGCACTAATTTAAAGTACATCTACCTAATGTAACATGAGGTACACTTACGTACGGGACACTTTGCGTCAGACAGCCTGTACATGTGAGATAACGCGCGCGAATGGCTGTGCAAACATTCCTTCCCGCGTCGTCGGCATCGTCATGACTTCATTGTTAACGCGCGAATGTCGTCGAATCGCGCGAATCGGCCGATTTAACGAGAACGATCCTGAAAACACTCGAGGGCGCAACGACGGTGTATGTGTGTGTTAAAAGGGCGTCTCTAATAAAGACACCCTCGTGACATAGTTTTAAGTCGCTGTCGGCAATATTACGCTCGATATATGTCGATGGGCTTCGCCGTATCTGACGAGGTTTCCTCTACCTTTCAGGGACCACCAGGATTAGACGGCATGAAGGTGAGCGATCCACGGGATGACCCCGTTTTCACTATAGATTACACTACCTCCTTATCTGGACTAGCGCTATTTCCGTATCTGCGCATCTCATACGTCGCGATTCCGAAATAAACGCCGATTAGATCGAAAGAGAGAAAGAGAAACGCACGCGCGCGAGCGCTTCTCCGATGGCGTACGATGGCGATGTTAGCGATGTGTGCCGATGTCCGTCAAGTTTCTTCGTACTTTCAGGGCGCGCAGGGCGAGCCAGGGACGAAGGGAGAAAGGGGAGATCCGGGATTGCCTGTAAGTGTCCTACGCTTTATCAAATTTTATTTACGCCGTCGTCTAACTCGCGATACTGTCCGCGTGCTCGTTCATGTTTATCCGCGAGAACGCGCGGATAGCGTGAATTTTATCGATATCATCCCCCGCGGCCAATCCCGCTCTCTCGGTCTCGAGGAATAATGTTTCGCTTTAACGGTCGCGTTTTACATCGTGCCGTTTCAAGACAGATTTCTCGTGGCTCGATCCCGCGAACAATTCAAATAATTGATCTTTCATTAATGAGAATATATCTGCACACGCGGAGAATTTTTCTCGAGTGTATAAACATTCGTTAAATGAAGAAGTACCATAGAAGATTTATCTCGTTAAGATGTACTCATAATATGCGAACGATTTCAAGGAGCTATGAGAAATTTAGAGAACAAAGAATAGGGGAGGCCGGAGTTATATGATCTCAGAAATATATTGCTTATGTGGTTTTTTTTTGTATTTTGTATTCCTTGAGAAGAATAGTGGGTACAAAATCGCGAAATGGCCCTTTTAGAACATCAATATTTTTGCCTGAGTTTCATTAAAATCGGAATAATGTTATAGTTAAGAAATAGAGAAAGAAAATCTGATTCCTCTGGTCATTCTGTGTACAAAAGTATTGGAGTAAAATTATCGAAAAGTGGATATACTTTCTGCGTTATTTTACATTTTATTTTGTTACTTTCCTATACTTAAGAATATTAAGAAGTTATCTTTCTTAATTTTTGAGATATGAGAAATAAGCTATAAAGAGTTATATGGGCCACCCTATATACATACACATACACACACACACACGCGCCAGGAGAGCAAAAGCCTGAGTTTCATTAAAATCGGAATAATATTATAGTTAAGAAATAGAGAAAGAAAATCTGATTCCTCTGGTCATTCTGTGTACAAAAGTATTGGAGTAAAATTATCGAAAAGTGGATATACTTTCTGCGTTATTTTACATTTTATTTTGTTACTTTCCTATACTTAAGAATATTAAGAAGTTATCTTTCTTAATTTTTGAGATATGAGAAATAAGCTATAAAGAGTTATATGGGCCACCCTATATACATACACATACACACACACACACGCGCCAGGAGAGCAAAAGCCTGAGTTTCATTAAAATCGGAATAATATTATAGTTAAGAAATAGAGAAAGAAAAACTGATTCCTCTGGTCATTCTGTGTACAAAAGTATTGGAGTAAAATTATCGAAAAGTGGATATACTTTCTGCGTTATTTTACATTTTATTTTGTTACTTTCCTATATTTAAGAATATTAAGAGGTTATCTTTCTTAATTTCTGAGATATGAGAAATAAGCTATAAAGAGTTATATGGGCCACCCTATATACACACACATACACACACACGCGCGCGCCAGGAGAGCAAAAGCCTGAGTTTCATTAAAATCGGAATAATATTATAGTTAAGAAATAGAGAAAGAAAAACTGATTCCTCTGGTCATTCTGTGTACAAAAGTATTGGAGTAAAATTATCGAAAAGTGGATATACTTTCTGCGTTATTTTACATTTTATTTTGTTACTTTCCTATATTTAAGAATATTAAGAGGTTATCTTTCTTAATTTCTGAGATATGAGAAATAAGCTATAAAGAGTTATATGGGCCACCCTATATACACACACATACACACACACGCGCGCGCCAGGAGAGCAAAAGCCTGAGTTTCATTAAAATCGGAATAATATTATAGTTAAGAAATAGAGAAAGAAAAACTGATTCCTCTGGTCATTCTGTGTACAAAAGTATTGGAGTAAAATTATCGAAAAGTGGATATACTTTCTGCGTTATTTTACATTTTATTTTGTTACTTTCCTATATTTAAGAATATTAAGAGGTTATCTTTCTTAATTTCTGAGATATGAGAAATAAGCTATAAAGAGTTATATAGGCCACCCTATACACACGCAAACACACACACACGCGCGCGCGCGCCAGGAGAGCAAAAGGAATATAAAACTGCGAATGGAAAGAAATACTACTAGTATGCTATACTATCCAACATAAATTTTCTGCATGCACGCGTCGATTCTCAGTACAGTAAGCTTTCCAAGAAATAAGTAAATAAATAAATAAATAAAGAGTCGAAGTGAGAGATTCGCGGAGCGAAAGTCCCGCGTTGCGCGACGAGCGGCCGAGAGTTTCGCGGGAATATTTCTGTCCGTCTCCTTCGATCGAAATCTCGATCGTGTGCGGATCGCGATCTTCGCTTCCGCTCGATCTCTCGACTCCCGTTTCGCGCGCGATCGCAGTCGTGAGCAGACGACGCGCTGAAGCGCTCTCAAATGGCGACGGCGGGTCGACCCGCTGCGACTCGTTTGCACCGCCGTGTGCATCCGTCGAGAGACACGCTAACGAGTCGATCTGTGTTTGTCCTCAGGGTACCGACGGGATTCCCGGCGCGGAGGTACAGTTGGCTTTCGATTATCGCTCGTCTTCCGGCGCGACTGCGACACGGTCTGATACGGTCTGACCAGCCCGGGGTAACGACGACACATCTGCCTGATCTACCCCGGGGAAAACAAAAGAAAAAGAAAAACAGAAAAGAAAGAAAAAAGAAAACGCAGAGAAAATGAAAAAGCCGGCGCGCCCTTATTCCTCCGTCCGATTTCAAAGAGAACGGAGCGTCTTGCGCCTTTCTCCCTCTTTCGTTCGGGATTCCATTCTCTCATTGTCGACGTTCCCGTGTGCCGCCGTTGTTCTGTATCGCGATAAATTGCGCTCCCCGGCGGAAGAGGAGAGACGTCTCGGATCTCGGTACGCGCCGATAGCGCATTTTTTTTTTCAAGATCTAACGGCTGCTCGAGGTGCCGACGCGACTCGGCTGTTTCTTCATTTTTTATTTTGTCGTTTTCTTCACCTGTCTCAGACGATGTCGGTGACGATGGGCGGAGGCGGGTCCGCGCGCGCGCGCGCCTAATTACGCCAAACGTTTTCACACATTTCGCGCCCGGGATGCGGCGTGTCGCGTTTCACTCGTCGCGCATTAATATGCGTCCGTGATAATTGTTGACCGACCTCGTGAGGCACCCGCGCGGAACTTCTTCTTCGGCGTGTATAATCGAGTTAGAGGGCCGCCCGATCGAAATTTATGGCCGAATGTAATCATACAACGGAGGGGGAAACGCGCAACTCCATCGTCCTTCTCTCTGGAGTGTCCGGAAGGATGCTCGAGCGGCGCTCGTGTGACCGCTCGGTGTGCCGTCTCGATGCGAGAGCGTGCATAAACGAGACGACTCTCGTTCCCTCGAATGCACAAGATAAAGGTGCATCTGAGGGTAGACGCGCGCGGCAGTCCCCCTCCTTCCACCGACCACCTCCCCCCCTCCACACCTCCGAACGCACAATAACGATATTTCGAAGCACAGTGCGATATTTTCCTCTTGCTCGAGCCCGTGACGGCCGTCGGTTTCTTCCCTCTCTTTTCGGGATCAATGATGCGTAAATCACGCGGAGAGAATTTTCTTTTTCGTGCAAATTTCTTTCAATGTTTTCGAGTAGTGTGCAGGAAAGTTGATCAAATGATTCGGTAATGACTATCAAGTAATTTGGTAATAATTACCGAATAGTTTGATAACTGCCAAACTGCTTGATGAAAGATCTGTTCTAAAGTATTGCGTCAGTCTAACCTTTATAGAGAGAGAGAGAGAGAGAGAGAGAGAGAGAGAGAGAGAGAGAGAGAGAGTGGAAAGTATTACTAAACAATATGATTATATTTAACAAATGAGAGACGTACTATATGGTAATAGTTTATCAAGCCTCGACAACAGATATTAAGTCTTGCTATTTGCTAATGTTTACCAAATTATTTTGTTATATTCACTTTTATGTTAAGTTGAAACTATTTCACCAAATCATTTCAGTAACTATTATCCAGGCTGGTGGAATATTATCAAATCTTTTTTCCAGTGTAAAGTTATCGGTTAATATTTACCAAATCACTTAATTATATTCATCTACACCCTGGAACTATATTTCACGAAAGATCTGGTAACAATTATCCAAGCTTGATGGCTATTGAGCCCTATTTTAGTGCGTTAATTCAATCATGGTTGTTCTTTTCCGTGAAAAATATGCGATGTATGTACTGCGAGACTCTGTAGCAAATCTCAGTATAAAATTCTCTCCGTCTCGCCCGCGGGATGAAAAACACGACGATATTATTTCTCTACTGACGAGTGCGTGCCCTCCGTATTTTATTTACCGCGTATATGTCGAAGCGTGAGCGCGGATATGTGCACTGCAAACTTAACGCGTGTTAATATCAGGAAACCGGAAAGCGCTATTAATATCCCAACGGGCCCGTTCTCGCTCCGTGTGCCGCGTGCAAATGTTCCAAAAATGCAAATGCAATTAATTTCGCCCTCGCGGCGTGCTGACGATGCCCGGCGAGAGACGGTCGCAAACTTTTCATTGCGGTTTTCGAGCGGGAGGGCTTCCGCCGGGCACTCTCTCCCGTGTATCATGCCGCTATCGGAAATTCCCGGTTTATTGACATCTCGTATGTTCGGAGGAGGCGAGAGCAATAACCAAGTGATCCACTTGAAATGCCGCACCGGTGTTCCGGTGCCGCGAATCGATAGCCCCACGCGGCCGGCGGTCGTCGACGGAGGAGAGAGAGAGAAAGAGAGAGAGACTGCTGATCGATACACGTGGTCACACGGCGCCTTTCGAGCCCCCTTTCGTGGAAACGCTTTTCTGGAACGACCGTGCATCCCGCGCGCGTAAACGACGGCCAACCAACCGTTTACCGAATAAAATGCCTTTTGACGTACCAATTCCAGGGACCGAAGGGAGAGAAAGGTGCCAAAGGCGAATCTGTGAGTATTGACTTAATTCAATACGTTTCCGAGTGGCGCGCGAGGCCACGCCGCGATAACCACGTGCCTGACCACTGTCTCACTTTATTTTCTTCTTGACTCGCGGGGATGCGAAAGCGTGAAGAGGAGGAAGACGGGGAAAGCGCGTCGCGCGACTCTCGCGAGAGCGCTCCGCGAGAAGGGTGCTTCGCCGAACGCGACGACCGATCGAGCGTCCTTGGATAAACACGTGGGCGCCTCCTCCCTCTCCTCTACCCTCCCCTCCCCCTTCCCGCCAGCTCGCTTCCTGATGGATAATCGCACATCGTCGCGACGATCCTGTGTAGCGACGATGTGTCCTCCGTCTCTCTCTCTCCCGCGGATACACCGGATCCTTGCCCACGAGACGCATTAGTCGATTAGTTTACCTTACAGCAAAGTCATCGGTCCGAAACGTCGGACTGACGACATGGAAGCGAGATTAATTACGCTGTTAGCTCTGTAACGTTTAGGTTCCGCTCGGCTGGCTTAATTGGGACGTCATTAAGCGACGCATTATCTTTCAGTGGAGGAGCGAGTCGATCGCGCCGGCGATACGCGTATCCTGTCGCTCTCTGTCCGGTGAGCCGATGCATCTCATTCCGCGCGCTTCTTTGTCCCTCGCGAAATTTCGCGCGTCGAGTATCCGCAACAGTTGAGCCACCGATCTCTTTCACACACACACACACACACACACACACACGTACACACGTTGCTCTCGCGGTTCGTTCGTCCTTTCGCATCCCCGCACTTATCTCTTATTCACTATTGCTGCAAGCACGTCGGGGAATCCTCCGTGCTACCGTCGTCGTCGTCGTCGACGTCTTCGTCGTCTTCGTCATCGTCGTCGTCGTCGTCGTCATCGTCGTTTACGACGAGGAAACTGCGAGATCTCGCAGAACGACAAGCTACAAGGTCACGAAAAGTAGCGGAGGAAGCTCTAGTGCAGGGACACGATGAGGGGATATTCCGTACAACGTATCCTCTCGCGCACACCCCTTTCTCCCAACCAAAACATCCATACCACCACAGTCCCTCGCGAGACTAACACACTCTGCGCGTACATACGTGTCGTCTGTATATTATGTGTATATATATATATACATACATATATATATATATATATATATATATATATATATATATA